ACTGTACTTAAGTACAGTAACGAAGTACTTGTACTTCGTTACTTCCCACCACTGGTAGATAGGTACAGGTACAGCTCATAAATCTGGTAAAACTGATTAGAAATGCCGTCTTATCTCTGAAGTGGTTGAAAATCATCTTTCTGTTTCAAAAGGAATTCCTGCTGATATTTATTTTTAGTTTGATTCTGTTGTAAATAGCCTTTTCAGTTACATCAAGTCTAAATAAGATTAAAAACAATAAATGCATAATCTCCTGGAGATTGACACATGAAATTCCATTATATTTACACAGATTTTCATTGAGTACATGGAATTTATTTTTAAAAAAATAAATGTTTGCATTTGTTGTTTAAAATATTTTGAGACTGCACATTAGTGTTAAAAATCTAAAAGTATAATTCAATTATAATCCGTTGTTTAAAGGTATATTAGAAAGCAACAGCAAAGGTAAATAGAAGCCAGTCGGGGGCAGTAGATTGATATAAAGCAGGCCATCCACCCGTTTTTAAAAGCGCCGAAGAAGAAACTAAAAATACTGTTATCCTGTGGGGGGCAGTGTTGTCATTTTGTTTCTCATACAACGAAGAAGAAGAACGAGAAGAACCCACGTTTGTTAAAGCCTCTCACATTACATTTGCAGCGAAGGTAGGCAGCAGGTTACTTCTATCCCAGAAAATGAACGGACTGAACAACGAGCCAATGACACCACAGACCTTCCTTTATGGTGAGATAATGTTTTAAAACCCAAAGTTTGTATTTTTGTTGTCGATTGATTCAACAATTAAAGAGATAGTTCTTAGATTCAGGCCAATGTTGAAGTCACACGCGCTCCTTTGGAATTGAAATTAAGTCCGTTTAGTGACAAAGATTGAGATATTTAAAACATAAAAATCTTTCGAAGGTGACGTTTTACAACAATAAGACAAAGAGTTGTTCGAGTCCTGGTGAAAAACGAGAGTCTTTCGGATCCAGTTTTCTGCACACGTGCTTTTTGTAGTCAATATGGCGGCGCCCGTGGTTTAGCAAACTGCTTTAAATTTTAACTATGTTCAGCCTACAACTCGCGAAACGTTCAAAACCTACTCGACATTTTCCGTGCGTGCTTACATAAAGCTAAAGGTTAAATTGACATCGTTTTCTGTAATGAAGGTTAAAACCGTCTCAACGTGTCTTCAGACGCGCACGCAGCTGACTGCAACGCAGATTGAACAAGCCGCTGAATTTAGACAGGAGATTTCACCTCCGATCTGTTCCATAGTCTTTACGCTAATTTGGCCAATTTTATGTAGCCTACAGGGCCTCATTTTAGATTCCTTTGTTTAGATCATACATCTCAATTCAAGTTCCAAATTTTGATAAAACGAAGTTCTGATTTTTTTAAGAATTTTAAATACTAACTTTTTTTTATATTCATTATTAGTCTGTTGGTTTCAGGGTAGTGAATTACGTTGTATTTGGAATGTGTCTTAAACATAAAAGTTTGTTTAAAATTGGCTCGAATCAACAAAAAAGGGTATCATAACCTATAATTGATGTATTGATTGCGAAGTTAATGTAATGGTGATATTTTAACCAGCAGAAAGTAATTTTGAACAACATTTTGGACCTTTTCTTGCACGTGCTTCATCTTCACAAGGATTTTTTTTGGACTCCAGAGCGCCCTCCTGTGTCAATTTTCAACACTTCACGTGAAACCCAAATAATTTCTTTGGGAAATTTCAAGACTGAAGCTGCATTTCACTTTTATTTTGATTCAGTTTTTTCTGTATTTTATTATTATTGTTTTTTGTGGGGGGTTTTTATCAGGGTGTGTTCTGGAAGCCGGGAAGGAGGTGGTCTTCAACCCTGATGATGATGAGTTGGAGCATCAACTAGATCTGAGGATGGTGAGTCCAATAAGTCCCTCAGATTTGCAAGAAAAAGTTTCAGAACAGACACACAGAACATTATAATGCTTTTTTTTCTTTTCTTTTCTTAGACGGTTAATTTCTTCTATTTAATTAAATGCTAGTGCGCAGCTATAGTACAGACTTGCATACTAGTTCAGTCATAATATTTCTCAGGATGGTAATCGCTGGCTCTAAACGAATTAATATCTGTAAACAACTTTACACACTTTGGGGAAATTAGAGAAGACGTTTCCTCTGCAACAACAGCTCAGTGGCAATCAGACATGCAGTCTGTGGCTCCTTTGCTGGCAGCACCCAGATAGTGAACTGTATTGATTATTACAAGGTCACAGAATGCCAGTCTAGGCAAATGGGACATAAAGATATATTACACACAATGAGATTAAACTGGAAATGAACAAAAAGAAATTAGCCTCAGTTCAGTCAGAGTCCAACTTCAAAACAAGGGCAGGAGTTGCATGTTGCTGGTTTAAGCTTTTCCATAAACATGTTGTTAGGGAGAACATGTAGCAGACGGTACGTCTAACTTCATTCAGCAGCTCAAAACGACTCGGTGACACATTTTTCCTACCCTCAGTATCCTCTGTGTTTTTCGTTACCAGCTCATCATGCATGGTAATGGCCTTGCACTGGTTTGCAACCAAACCCCATCAGTCAGTGCCAACATGAGTTGGTGACCAGAGTTTATAATCCCATCTCCTTCCACAGCAATCAGACTCTTTGTCTGCCATTTTTGGTCGGAGTCTGTGTAGTGTTTTTGAAACTGCGGAAAGGCTCCAGGAATAAAGTTGGAGGGGTTTTCAAATCTGCCCACTGTTCTTCTTACTCCTGCAGGTATGTGTGGACCCCAGCTCAAAGGACGAACTCCACTTGGTGGAGGTTGAAGGACAGGATTCGGAGGGTCAGAAGGTCAAGGCAGTGCTAGCTTCACTCAAGCCGTCCACCCTGCCCAGCGTAAGTCCACTGATGTTATATTCACATGTTAGATGTTACGTATGGCTGTTGGTTGATGTTGTTCTTCTTCAGGTGTGTCTTGGTGGGTTCACAGTCACACCCCCAACAGTGTTTCGTCTGAAGACGGGTTCGGGTCCAGTTCACCTCAGTGGACAGCACCTCATCAGTGAGTGTTTGTTGGCAAATGAGCCCAAATGTTGACATTGTTCCAGTAATTACAGCTGGCTCATGTTAAATGTCTGAATATCCCCCCCCCCCTCCCTCTCCAAAAGTGATGGAGACTGACCAGTCTTTTGATGAAGATGATGATGAAGAAGAAGAGGAGGAGGAGGAAGAGGAGGAAGCCGTTCCAGCGTCAAAGAAAAGATCCATCCCATTCGCCGCTGCTAAGTCTCAGGTTTGTCTCAGTCATTTAACGAACCTCACCAGGTTCCATGTAGAAAGACGTCTGTGTGAACCAAACCTGATCTGATGTCTGCAGAAAAAAATGAAAATGGAAGCAGGAGATGACGACGATGAGGAGGAAGATGATGAGTGAGTATCAAGATTTACTTTTTTTTTTTTTTTTTTTTTCGGATTGGAATGATTTGAGAAATTCCCAGAATTGGATTCAGAAATGTATTTATATTTGTAAATGGCACATATATCTGAGTTAAGAGTTCAGACTGTGTCTCTGTAGCAGAGCAGGATGCTGCTCTGAGGTGAAGCTTTACTGCAGAGGTTCCCCAGCATTAAGGGTAGAATACTTTACTAACCAGGTACTGTCTTTATGACTCATGTTAAAAGGGGAAATCCACTATCAGAATCAGTCTAATTGTTTCCATGCAGTAGTGTGTTTTGCCCTCTAAACATCCCCAGGAGTCCATTTCCTGGATAACCTCTGCAACCTTCTACGCATCCTCGTTTTTGTTTAAAAAATAAAAAAATAAAAATTCAGGTTTGGTTGTAGCAAATTCTAAAATGGCATCGACTAACAATGATGAAGGCCTCCTCTTGTTACAGATACAGAGCCTTATGCGATGTCTGCATTTCTAAATGATTGTGAAAATAAGTTTTAATAAGAACCACTAGATGGCGCTTTTCTACCACAGTTTGAGAACCTACCTGATTATGTTACCTTATTGTTGGAAAATAAGTTCAGCCAGTCTGATATTTATATATACATTTACAAACCTACAAATCAGATTTTCTGAATTTTTCTTTTTTTTTTTTTTTCTTCCCCAAGGGATGATGAGGATGAAGAGAGTGAAGCTGAGGAATCACCAGTAAAGGTGAGTAAACATTCAGAGGTTTTGTGCATTTAAATATTTTTTGTGTGTGTATGTGTGTGCCCTTTCTAATGGCTATCTCTTCATCACAGGCCAAACAAACCCAACCCAAAGCAACTCCAGCCAAACCAAAAGGCCCGGCTCAGAATGGCAAGAACTCCGCACAGAGCACACCTGCCCCAAAGCAGGTGAGACGGTTTCCACAAACACGGCTCCTCTGAAATATTTATGGAGTCTACCAAAGCATTGATGAATTCCTGAAAGCTCGGGGCTAATTTAAGTTGACCTTTGTTTACTTTAGAAGACCCCCAAGGGGAAAGCCGAGAAGTCACCGAAGACTCCGGCGACTCCCAAACAGGAATTAACCTTGCCTCAGCTGAAAGCCAAGCTGATGGAGGCAATGAAGAAGGTTTGTGAACTTGCACATACTTCTCAAACCTGCCTAATTTATTGGCGGCTGTTGATTTTGCTGTGATGACCAAAGAATTTGCCTGTTCTAGGGTACCACATTACCTAAAGTGCAGCCCAAGTTTGAGAACTTTGTGAAGAACTGCAACAAAGTGACCAACCCCCAGGTAAAACAACCACAACTGTTCCCACTTTTTTTATGAAAAGTAATCAGTTTTCAGATAATTTTTTAAGCTATATGGTTTGTAGAAGCATTACAAAAACAACCCAAGAATGTTCATAATTTGTCATGTTTCATGTTTTGTTTTTGTTTTTTTTGCCACAAGAGGGCACTATAGCCACATATTTAAATGTAGAACTGAGTCCACGTAGCTCCGATACTCCATTTCCCCTGAGGCTGTTTGATTGTTTCTCTGTGGGTGTGACCTGTATGTTGTTTTGTTTCTCTTTAGATGGTTGCAGATCTGTGGAAGTGGCGACAGTCGCTGAAGGACGAAAAGTAGCTGACTCTCTAGTTTTTACCAATTTTATGACCTGTTCATCCCCATAGCCTCTCATATTCTCCACGTCTAAGTCTGTGCCTCAGTTTTCCTTGGAATCACTCTGCCTTCCTGAATGTAGAGGTTGAATATGGTGAACATCTGAAACATTAGTTTCACCCTCTCCTTTAGACAAACTGAAGCCTGTTCAAAGATTACTGGAAATGAAAGTTGCTGGACTGTTAGGACGCGAGTATGTGTAAATTTGTTTCCACTTATTGAATTGTTCTCTTGGGTGTAAAAAGCATCACATCAAATGGAAAACACACCTTGTTAAATGACTGTTGAAATAATCTACCTTAATATTTTGTTGACGCTACCATGACCAACTTATTCAAAACTCATGTCATGTTTAACCGTCCAATTGTTGTTTTGTTTTTTTCTTTTTGTTTATTTTTTTGTTTCTTCCCCATAAGTAACAAGTTGGATAAGCCACAGCTTTGTCATGTTGTTAAAACTCGTCAGTCCCTTAGGTCAAAGGTTGTGTACCGTTGAAATGTGTTTTATGCCTTAGGGAGTCTGCAAATGACTTGTGTAATCTTTCTCTGAAATTCCAGTGTGCTCATGATTCAAAGGTACAAATTCAGTGCTCATTTGACTAAAGTAAGATCATGAAGGTGTGGGAGTGGTAAAAGAGATCATTCCATTCCGTTTCCATTGTAGTTTTATTTTTTAATCAATTACTTTTTGTCCTTTTTTTTTATCTCTGGTTTGATAGCTCATGTCTCAAAATCGATTTAAACAATAAGGCATGGCTCTTTCTTCACCGTTTCTGTTAGAATCAGAAATGTTCCCAGGTTTCAGGATGCTTGCAGTGTTTGATCTTTTTCCTTTTTTTTTATTTGAAGCAACTTATTAAAACAATTCAATGAAATTAACACATTTGGTGTTTGTAGTGTTTTTACCTAAAGACGAACCTGAATGAACTTTATGGACCACGGTTGTACACATGAGAACTTTGACTTCAGTCTACTTTCCTCTCTGGCATTTAGAATTTAATGTGTTTGAGCACAATTTGATTAAATTCAAAAAGAGGAGTATTTGTTAAACCAAATATTACGGGTTTGGCCTCCCTTTGATTTTTCTGTTTGGCCTTGTTTTAAAAAGTTTCTTAAAGCTTATTGTGCTCAGTTGGGTGGGTTAAGGCAAGAGTTCTTGTGTTGGGAGAAGGATGTAAAAGCTGTTTTTCTGACCTTTGATCATATAAAGTTTTTTACAGATGTGTGTTTGACCATCTGACAAAAGAAGCAGCCAATGGACTGTTTTATGGAGTCAAAGTAACGACTATAGATAGAGGTTTGATTGTTATAACTGTAGGTGGGCTTTATTGAATTTGGATTCGACAAGCCCTTTATGAGGAAGTGTGATAATACTACCTTTATGTTGCTAAGGTGATTAAAAATGTCTATCTGTATTCTAAATGAGTCAGGACTGTTAACTTTGATGTAACATGTAAGGAAAACTTATTTTTTTCAATTTAATTACTGGAATTGGATGTTTAATTTAGGTCACTGGTTCAGCTGCACCGTTCTTCTAAATGCCTGAGCTATTAGAAAGGTAGTAAAGTCTTAGAGAGCATAAATTTATGATCAGCTATTGCAATGCTCTGATTGGTTGTGGTGTGTGTGATAGCTTTCACAAACATGTTGAGACAGGAATTGGTTCAGAAGTACATCTTTTCCTTTTCCAGGAAAAAGGAAAAGGGGATTGCAGCGGAGGAGGGACAGCTTTGGCCCGTATGTTGCCGTTGCTGGATATTGAACCTTTGAGGAACTGGAGCAGCCTGATCTCAGGGTTTAAGCCACTTTATTTTAATAATATGACAATATGGGACACTAATGATCAGTCCGGCAGCCACAATGAGGACAGACTGCAGGTAGAACTAGAGCAAGACAACACATGATCAATAAATCAAAACATACTCTGAAGATGAACCAAAGCAAGTTATGAGTTGAAATAGAACACCCCACCTTCCAGAAATATACTTCAGATTATTGGCTTGTTTAAAGGATTACAGATACACTGTATCTCAATTGGAGCTCCATGTTAAATTGGGATTTGTCCACCGAGTAAAGGCCCAGTGGCACTACAAGATATTTTAACAAGCTGCAGTTTGGCTGTGAAAAGGAAGACTTTCTACCGCAGAATAAAAGTATGTAGTAGAGATTTGTAGCTTAGAAAGCAGGTATGGTGTGTTTCAGGGGAACATATACTGCTCAAAAAAATAAAGGGAACATTTCACTTTAATTTTGTGTGTGGCTCCAAATCCAGGCCTCCATTGGTTAATAAACTTGATTTCCATTGATGATTTTTGTGTGATTTTGTTGTCAGCACATTCAACTTTGTACAGAACAAAGTATTCAATGAGAATATTTCATTCATTCAGATCTAGGATGTGTTATTTGAGTGTTCCCTTTATTTTTTTGAGCAGTGTATTACCTCAGAAAGCCCAACACTGTCCTGTGATGACAGTTTGACCAAGTGCAGGTAGTGAGAGACAAAACTATGGCTTCAAAGAAAAACTAATGCAAAAAGTTGTTGCTGAGCCAGAGAGGTTTAATATCCAGACTGCTGCATCCTGGGTGCACAACCAAGCATAATCATGGGTTCCTCCTCCCAGCCGTTTTTATAGCATGATCGTCACTGGTACAGAAACTTGTGGCTCGTTTAAATCGGCGTTTTGGTAGTTTCTCATTTCAAATGAGCCATTCACAGGTTTTTCCCACTTCTTATATTTGGTCTTCATGCATACACACACATTTGAAATTCTAATCAGCTGAACATTTCATTGGATCAGTGTGCCCACTGTAAATTTGCTTTTACTGCACAGTCTTAAGTGTAAAGCTACATGCTTCAACTTGTCTTTCACTTTTTTGGTACAAAGGAGTTTCCCCCACAGATGCAACAATGTCATTTTTGTTTGCTTTAGTCTGCACAAGACCAAAATCGTTATTCCACATCCTAATCAGTCAACCTTAAATGTGAGGTTATCAAAAAAAGATTTAATGCGCAATGACGCAGCGTATAACCCAAACTCATTTTGGAACAGAGAGTTGGTCACCATCCAGTGCTGGGCTCCACTCAGCAGTGTGACCGGCACCAATCTTATGTTATGCAAGTATGCTTTTAAGCATGGAGCAAATATGCACAGACAAAAAGAAAAAAAAAAATCCTTAACAGCTCTCCTTCATGAATACCTTACTTGTGCCTTCCTTCTTGACAGAAAGTTATTTAAATTGGCAGAGACCATCTTTCCATCTCATGATTACATAAAGTTTGAATATATTAAGCACTTACAAGTTAGTATCAAGAAATTTGATCTTTCACTTTAACTTTATTTACAACATAAAAACTTAAGATAAAAAAAATAGCCAATACAAGCAGAGCTCATTCACACAAGTAGATATTAAATTGTCATAGTATCACAAGTTACAAAATTGGCAATCTGTGTACAAGTCATGGTATCATTACTAAACCTTAATCTAAAGGAAGAAAAAAAAAAAAAAACCCTTACAGTAAAACAGATGTTACCAAACGTTGTCCATTCAAATGTACATCGCATGAAAAGCGCTTCCTACATCAAGGTTCTCCATAATTAACTCAGTGCTTTACAGCGGTGAGCTACATAGGCGGTACACATAAACACAGACTTCAGTTTCAGAAGGGCGGGACCGGTGTGTTCTGAAGTAAACAGCCGGTATTAAAAAAAAAAAAAAAAAAACTTTACAAAGCATTTGGTAAAATATTACAGTAACATCAATGGTAATCCTGCAAAAAACTAAAAAGGTGATATAAAATAAGGTCAGTACTCCATGGATACTTTTTTTTTTTCCCCCCATACATTTCTCCAGATGGATTCAGGGTGAATATTAAAATGTTCTTTCAAACAATAACCAATTCCTATCCTGTTCAAACGTAGTCCTGCTTGTTGCTGGGGGGCCTGCTGGACATGGGATAGCTGGGCGAACGCTTTTCTCTTGGGCAGGACGCCGCCAGCATGGCACCTCCAATTATAGCCAGAAAAGATCCAGCCCAGCCGATGAAGATGGCAGACCCGAACTCATACCTTCGGAGAGCAGAGAGACACAAATGTAAAACCTTCTTCCGCACTGTACAGAAGTGAGCGTAACCAAAAATCCAGAGAAACTCACCTTGTGTTGACAGGAGTGAAGGGGTCGTAGAAGGCTCTGACGATGTCGTTGGCGTACCAAGAGCAGGCCACGATGGCACACAACGCTGCAAAAGGACATGCATTACTTGACGCGTTTCCACTAGTTTTGAAAGATCCTGGTTTGAGTTTAGGGTTTTGCCTCTTACCTCCAATCAAGATAATAATGCCGCCAGTCATAGCAATCTTGGCCTTCTTCACCTGGTCGTCGCCTCCGCAGTTGGTGCATTTCATCCCCATGCCAGCTGCCCCCATCCCAGCTACGACCACAATTATGCTCACGACCATGAGGGCGCGGGTTGCTTGAAGGGCACCTGGTTAAGAGAACGAAAGAAGTCCGTTAGGCCATCAGTTATTGTCAAACCCAACACTTATTAACAGGGGGACACGTCATTACAGGTGCGGCGCAAACAAGACAAAAAAAATAAAATTGCTTCAATGAGCCGATACTGGTCGTGCCCAGTTCATGTGTGCATGAAGACGCTACCGTTTGGGGAAAAGGTGTTGTAAACAAACTCATTTGGGACAGAACAGTTGCCATCTCTTGCCACTCTAGAAACTGGCTTCAGCCAGAAACTCAGGAAATGGCGTGGGGGTGGGGTGGTAGAATGTGTAGGTGTGCTAAAACAGGTCTGACCGGGTTTCAGATTTCTCTGTTATGGAGGACACTCCCAGTTCTAGAAACTCGCAGTGAGCTTTTCCGAGAAACTTCAGCTGCCAGTGTTCGGAGCCACCATTTCTTTTCCCAGTCTCTTGGAATCGGTCTTATGAATGCAATTGGCTTTCATACTTAAAGATGGCACCAGAGTTTGTTGATAGGTTTGATTATCTTTAAAAAGAAAAAAAAAAATGGAGGATGGGGGAAAGTAGCACCTGCCATTTACTCAGTCAGCCAACAGGAAGTTAAAACAAACTTCACACCATATCTAACAGTATTCCACGTCAAATCTCTTATACTTCCTGTATCTCTTTGACAACCAACAAAACTAAACTTTATTCAGGCAGTTTTAGATAAATAACTTCCCCCACTGCTATGAACTTCCTTCGGGTACTGCTCTATAGGGTCTGTTGACTAAACAATGGCTCACCCAGGTGTTTAACCTTTAACTACATCTGCTGTGTAAAGAAACAGTAAAAAGATTACCGCAAAGAGGGAGGGCTTTACGGGACAATGATGCCCTTAAGGAGAAACACGGTCAAGGCCGCTGTGTAGATTCCCAGCTTTTCAGGTGGAAAAACGCAAAGAGTGTTTAAACATTTGAATTTCTAGCAACGGTTTTAAGCAGTTTCCCCTCCAAAAATGGGCGTTGGGTTAAAAAAGTAAAATAAAATAAAAAAAAATGCAATGCCAAGCAAAGGGAAACTAGGGACTTATTCAAAAGAAAAACCTGTTTGTCAAGGCCACAGACGCCAACTTTAAAGTAGCAACCGGCATGACGCAGGGGGAATAAAATGATAACAGGTGAATTGTTAGTTGCGTCATTTTTCTCCTTAGAGGAAGAAATGTCTAGGTGACCTTTCACGAAGCCCATGTAGAACTAGAAGTGTGGAGGGGGAGGGGGTCAATTTTTTTAGGTTAACGCCGTCAAAACTCATCGTTACATACCGACCACCGTTTATTATTTTATATATATTTATTTTAAAAAAGACAAAGTGTAATTACTGTTACTTACTGTTGAGCTGCAGCATGGAGTCGTACACTTTGCACTGGATCTGGCCTGTGCTCTGAAACGCGCAGGACATCCACAGTCCTTCGTACATGGACACCGCCGTGATGATGTTCGAGCCAACAAAGGCTGACATCTTCCACTGTGGCAAAATGGTGCCGATTATCAATCCAATCACGCCCAGGAGAGCCAGAGCGAAGCCCAGAATCTGAAGACCCTTGTTTGCCATTTCGACGATTTGTTCTCCCTTCTCCTAAGTTGGGATCAATAGCAACAAAAAGCCAAAGAGGTCCACCTGCTGCGAAAAGTCCTGTTCCTTTAAAATCCAACAAGCAAAACAAAAACAAAAGAAAAGACTTACTTGCTTCTTACAAAGTTATGTCCCTTTTTAAAAAGAAAAAAATTATATATATTTTAAAAAGTCCTTTGCTTTCTGCAAATGAAAGAGTAGCACACAGAAGCGATATGTCGGCTTAAAAACTGTCGGTGAATGCATGCGCACCTGTTCTTATGCCGCACCTTAACTAGGAAGGGGACAGCGGGAGCGAGCTCTTTTAGGCGGTTTCTAGGGCAGGTGGGCGGGGACGCGCACGCGGTTTCGACTCATCGGCGTAAGAAGAAAGAAACACCTGAAGTTTCGTGATGTAAGCGTTTCCTAGTGGGACAGAGGGAAGTCATACTGATACTAGACCTGGTTTGATACGGTTTTGAATCAGAAAATCTCTAGTAAAAACAAGCAAAATAAAACTTCAACATGTTTATTTCGTCTCACTTTCAATACCTGTCTAAATTAAAATGATTTTGCTCACTTCATTCTTTCTAATGATAGAAACAAAAACGAGTCTTTATGGTCATTCAATTAAATTACTGGATACACTTTAAGATCAAACTTAAAGTGAACACACTTGCGATTAGCTCACGTTCCCCAGGTGAAACCGGAAGCCTGATGGTAAACAAGTATTAGATGTAGATCTTTCACCCACAAAGAAAGATACCGTAGGTCTTTCCTTCCGGCCGCCGTCAGACTGTACAACACCTGCTGCTCTCAGTAGTCCACTACTCTTTACTATAGGCAATAAACCTGGAATTTATTTATTTATATTTCAAACAATACTGTTTCAATACTTTCTATATTCACCTGATTTTACTGTGTATATATAGATTTTTATAAATTTTTATATTGGTTCTGCTCTGTCCTTTATACTGCTGTAACAATGGAAATTTCCCCACTGTGGGATTAATAAAGGAATATCTTATCTTAATATTGTGCAATAGCAAGGTTTCTTTTTATAGTTGTGATAGAGTCAAATGTGTGGCTACAAATTCAACTTGAATGACTCATTTACGTGGATGTATGCGCGCGTTTAAATAAATGACTAATACATTTACAGGAAAGCTGTTGTTGGCTAAAAGAAATTACAATTTTAGTTCATTTAAATTCCAGGACTGAGACACAACTGGTGTTCTAACCCAAAGGGACATCTAATGTAGTAAATGCAGTTTATTTAAATTAACTCTAACATTGCTATTGATATAAATTGTCACATTTCCAAAGGAAAACTAAGGAAAATATGTTTTTAGCTCTGGATTTCAGCGTGGGCCTAGTTACATGTTGCTGATCTGCTGATCATTTGTATGCTGGAACAGTGTTTTTATTATGAGCGCTTGTCATTTCCCTTTTTGAGACTTCTCAGCACTGCATCATTAAATACAGAAGAAGAAGAGAGGACAAAAGAGAACTCCTCTCAGTGAATCATTGTTGAAACATTTCGAAAATGTTCTAGTCAGCTGTGGAGAAGTTTAAAGCAAAGTCGTGTATTAAAGCAATATTCAAAGCTTTAAACAATCTTTCTTCATTAAATCCATTATATGAGAATCAAAAGAGGTTGAGCCAATTGAAAACCAGGACAGGAAATAAGCTTTTCAAGGCAGGAGTACATCATGATGTCCTGTCAAGGGAGGAGGGGGCTGAATACTTATGCATGCCACACCTTTCAGATATTTCTCATAAATTACGAGGAATATCTGAAATTTTGAGGTTAAGTAACTCATAAGTGGAGTTACTTAATACCTTAAGATCTTAATACCTTCTCAGTATAGAAATGCGTCATTTTTGAGTGGACATGATTTGTTAATTTCTTGTAGGCTGATGCATTCAACAAAAGTTTTCAAATGTTAAGTAAAAAGGGTGTTGTAATTAAATCCACATTTAAACCCTAAACTGAACTCTTTTTATGTTTTCAGCATTTTTTCATTTTTTTTTTTATCATGTCTTTCTGTGAAGACCTACTTCTCTTGGATATCAACAGATGCTGTTGATCTGAAACTGTGTTCAATCAGTTTTGTAAACTGAAACCTTTTTTTTTTTTTTACGACCTGGTTAGATCTTCTGATCGTATCAGGTACAGTCCTCATGTGTCATCAAATGACACAACGATAAAAATCGTCAAAAATCATATGTCATTTTATCCAGATCAAGCCTTAAAACAAGTTCAGTTCATATTTAACACTTGCTCAAATGTTATCTGTTATAACCCAAAATCCTCTGTAATAATTGCTATTTTGCTATGTATGTTGTTTGTTTTTGTCATTCAGCAGTTCTAACATAATTTCCCTTATTTCAGAACAAGCATCCATCTGAAATGGCCAGAATAGTCTGAGGAGATATACACCGTAAAAACATTTCTTTCTGTCTCCAACAACCTCTTTTGGTGTGGGAGCAGAGACGTCTAAGTCACAATGGAGGCTGATTCAGTTTGCTCACTGGTCAAACTGGTTTCATCGGGCTCCAGCTTTTAACCACTCGGTTCTTGGAAAACACAGAACATGTCTTCCGCTCTCCCTCTCTGAGCGCCAGCAACGACAGCATGCATGGACTTGTGAAATTCTTTCTTTTTTTTTTTTGTTGCTCCATGTTAAACACTTGTGTGATATAATCTCCACATTCTTAGCAAGAAAAATGCTGGGTTTCAGCTTCCACAACACCCCAGTTGTTGTTATTTATTTAGGCTGATACTAAAGCCGCTCTCTGAGTCATCACACAGCACAAACACACTGAATATGTTGTAAATGTTTTCTCCTTGCCGCCGGTTTCTTGTGTTGTCACGTGAGTCATCTCAGGTGAGAGAGACGACAAGGAATGGAACAATTTAAATATGGTTGTTCCTGTCTGGGGCGTGTTTCCGGATCAGCTGTCTCTGTTCTCTCCAACCGTTTCGACAATACCAAGCGGAGCTAATTTGAATAAAGTTGTGACCTAGTGTTTAACTTACTCTGAAAGTGACTCACCCTCTAAAATAACAGTTGCTCCTTTGACAGGTACTTTTAAAGTTTTTTTTTTTTTAATTTTTATGTTTGATCATTTTTGATGACGCTAAATCCGGGTACATTTTTGTAAAAGTTCATTATAAGCCATAACCCATTTGAAATTGTTTGCTTTGATATGTTGAGGTGTACAGTTAGCAGTTAATTACTTTTTAAGACTATCACTTTGCTTTGGATTAAACCTCACAATCTGAGAGTGCTGTAATCTTACCTTGTAATGTAATCCTTTAATCTCAATGCACATTTTGTGCCATCAAACTACAGAGCATGTTAGGGAAGAACGGCTAAATAGGGACAACGCTGAGGTACAATACTGCCACCTAAAGGTGACCATGGGTATTTTAAAAGCCATACAGACCAAGTTACTCGGTTTATGTTCTTTCAGTTTTGTTCTAGAAAGAGTATTTATAAAGTAACAAGTTCTAAAACGACTTTTCTTTGATCTGCATTGTCTCCAGGAGTGAGCTGGAAATGTATGGTTTTTTTGTTTTTGTTTTTCAATACCAAAATAATTCAACAGAAAATAAGTAAACTTCTCAGTACCCAGATCTAAGTACTATGAAACAACTGTGGAGTAACGTGGAAAGGAAGGGAGCATAAGAGAGAGAGAGAGTAAAGAGGGCTCACATTGTTAAGTGTGACTTATTATTATTTTTTTCTTGACTGATAACTTTCAGATATTCAGACATAATGTGTTATGCGTTTCCTTTCATGAAGAGCTAGGCTATATTCAAAGACTGCTACTTTCTCAGACAAACTTTCGGTTCTGGATTCCCTTTTGACACGTCGAGGAAAGAATTAGGCACCAGAGCTCCATCCCATCTTTAGTCACTTTTGTTTTAGCCTTTTCATCATCACAAGCGCTGACACTCGTTCATAGTTTTGGTATTTAGTACCTGCAAACATTGATGATCTGCGATTGATGCAGGAGTAGACAGAAGATTAATGGCTTCTGGTGCAAAACATAATTAACACAAGGATGCGATTTGTTTTCGTCTAGTCAAATTTAGCATATAGGTTCCTATAAAAAAAAAAAAAAAAGCATAAACACTCTGAGAGTAATTGGTTCCCCCAGCTTTCCAGGCAACTATATTTGGTTTAACACTGTAATCCTTATTTGCTGCATTAGGAAACATAAAGCTCCATTCACTCTGCCCATGGACTGCTTCGCTCTGTGTGGGTTTACTGCGAATAATCTCATACAAATGCACGAGTCATGCTTCCACGAGATTATAGATGGCACAGCGAAGTACATAAGGAGGATCAGACGAGGAAAAAGAGCGGCTGTCTGACCCCGACTGAGGTCACGTCTCAATAGGGGGAACTCGATGTAAAAGCGGCAACAGCCCAAGAGCTCACGATAATCTGTCACATCACATGCGGCTCAATTTCAGCTCGTTCTGCGGAAAGTCTTGAAGCATAATTATCCTGCCTGTCAAACATCGATTTGCCATCGTTGTCACCGAGCGACTGTAGCGTCTAATCGACTGGCGTGCTGCAAAACGCAGATGTAAATGGAGCCGTTCATCCGTCTTATACTTTCTGCTCAAACAATTCTTTGAAAAGAATTGTTTGAGCAGTAGATGAGATAGATGTGAGCTCATTAATCCTAAATAATCCCAAAAAAAGTCCCAAACAAATGATGCAGAAAGAATTCTACCCTCCTTTTCTAAGCGGTTCTGCAACCTGTGACTACTTATCTGACCACCATGGTTCAAGGGTGGATCTGTTTTTAACAAAATGTAAGGTTAATTTAAACATAGAAATAAATAGATTTTTAATGACATGTTTTTTTTTTATTATAATTATTTTACAATCTTTGTTTATTTATTTCATTTTAGTCTTCAATGAGTATATTTTATGACATAGTGAGTTGGTAATAATTTGTTTTAATTGGAATGTATGATGCATACAGCATGTCTGTTACAACCACAAACTTCCATGTTAGTGTCGTTTTATGAGAAGGATATTTAGGTTTAGATGTTTAATGATTTCCTAGCACTGTCCCGCCTCACAGAAGTAGCGCAAAGGCTTTATTTTCAAAAGAAAAAAAAAAAGATAATGCTGGAATGCTCATGCTTGTAAACGCAGTTTGCTTTGAACAAAACAGAACAACTTAAAATCCCATTGCAATTTATCCGACCAGTTCCCTGAGCTGAAATGACCAAGTCGTCGTCAGTGTGCTCTCATAAAGCGGTCGCAGAAGAGTCCTCCATTTTGCCGATTGAATTTACGTCATGCAAATGGGAAATGATGGCGCCACAACACAACAGTGCTACTGTCTATTAGATTATGTATGCAGGGAAATGTCAACATTATGTACTTCGTATCCGTGTTGATGTTGTCGGCATGCGATGCATCAGTGAGGCCTCTGAAATAATCCACGCTTACTCCCCACCTAATCTCTTATGACAGATGGATGTTTTTTTTAAAACAGGTAGAAGTTGTGCGAGCGTGCTGATCTGCGGTTTCCTGCAGATCCCTGGATAACTCGGCTCAGTTTTAGGGATCATGAGAGGTGTTTTGACCTGCTAGAGGTTTATACCTGTTGGCACAAATACAGCAGGAGGCACTGAGTCTGCCTGCCTCTCGCTGCGTGTTTTGCTCCGTCATGTTTGCATGCTTTAAGTGTGAGACAGCCCCACAGAACACTTTTTTTTTTTTTTTCCCAGAGAAAAGATATAGAGCTGGAGTCAAAAATTTAAAACATTAACCTAGTTTTTTTTTTTTTTTTACAACTCAGATGCATTTAGTGTGATATAAAGTATTTCAAAATGCTTTTAGAGAAATATTTCATGGCAAAGCCATTTTTTTCCAGCTCTTTTACATATTTCTCATTTGTCCTGACACCGTGGAAGTGAAGTTTTTATCATGAGCTGGAAAGGATGACGGTAATGAAAGAAAGTAACAAACTATGTAGAAGAATGGTCATAATACTCTGTTTTTTTTTTAGGTTTTTATTTTATTTTAATCGTAGGCTCTAACTTTTTTAACTTTTGTGTGTTGTGCCGTGTCACCTCCAGATGGTTTTCACGGGAATGACCCGACGGGGGACACTTACAGTCATGGGGACGAGCACCAAAAAGCCAGTCCCATGAAATATATAATTGAGTTTTATTATGCTGCTGTCATATTTATGGGGAGGAGTAGGCGAGACTAGAACTCAGAGATGAACAACTGCAAATATCTACGCTACAAAACGACAACAAAAAAAATTATAAAAATGTCTTTAACCCCTTTCACAAAATACTTCAGTGTGGAAACCCTCCAGGTGTCCACATTGGTTTTTTTGAGTGTTGAAGTCATCATCACATCATTATAATAACAAAAAAAGCTGCTTAAAGTATAGCACTCTCTAATGCATCAGTCACTCTTAAGACTGTTTCTGTGTCTATTTAATGTTTCCTAACCTTCTGCTGCAGTAGTTAAGCCTTTTAGAAGCAGCTTTGCTAGTTCTGTATTCCCCCTGAAATGGACCAGAATCATATGAAAGTACAATTTTGGTGACTTTTTGAAAATTCAAACAATAATGCAATAACACATCCATCACAAATCAACTGATCTATGACGCAAAGTGTTTGACCTGCCTGTCAAACGGTCAGCTGGCATCTCCCACCTCTGTTACAGATATATCTCCCTTCTCTTCCCATTAGAAGTATTAGACTCTTGGATTATCTTTTTTTTTTATTTCTTTGGCTGCAGGGAAAACTAATAAAATGTTAGGAAAGGACCCCCCCCCCCAAAAAAAAAAAAGACAAAAAATGATCACAAAAAGTTACAATCATACAAATATATGTTAATTTATTGATTAATATATCAGAATAAGACATTTCCCTTTAATTCATGTAGAGGTTGTAGAAATGTACACAGGTCAAAGTGGAGAGAGGGTGAATCGAGGGCTTGTCTCTGTAGATACTGAGAGGGAGTCGTCCTTAAAGAGCCAAAGTATGCATGCTTAAAAAAACACAGAGTCTGGAAAATTGTTAGATAGCCTTATGGGTTTGCTTGATCTCCTTGAGTGCAGGCTGGTAGTTCTTGTTGCATATTGCTGGTCTTCGGTTTTTGCTTCTCTTTCACTGAAGGGTGTTCAAGAAAGCCGGTGCACGAGGATCGTTGGCGTGTCTTTGGGCTCTTGGCGAGAGCAGTCCAACATGTGGCTTAAATCCCTGGTTACACTCGTGAAGCATCTTAGAAGTCTGTCCTGCTCTCTAACCACAGCCAAGGCCTTTTAAGAAGGAAAAACAAACGAAAAAAAAAAAATAATAAAAATGTCATGGCTTTCTTTGTTGGTTTGTTGAATAAAAAAGTAGGAGTTAGTGTTTTTTTGTTTTTTTTGGAAGACAACACGATTGGTCTGAGAGAGCGGGAGAGAAGTCAAACGTCTGTAAGGGGGCGGTGAGGGAAGAGGGGCTATTAGGGCAAACGCCCGCAGTGAGGCAAAGCATTGCCCCCACAACAATGCATCACTCATTTAACACACAGCTTACCCACGCGGCGGAATTCGCTTTGGATTCGTCTTCGCTCAGGATTTCATACAATTGTGGATACAACAGTGCTGACCGAACACATTAAACACATTTATAAATGATAGAAACGCACCGAACAGGAGCAGCTTTTCTGCCTTCCGCTGAGAGATTTGCATTACCAGAGGCAAACAAACAAACAAACAAAAACCTTTTAACAGAAATGGCAACACGCATAAGCTCATTTCAGAGAATAAAAAAAAAAAAAAAAGACAGAGAAAAAGCATACCAGATATACAAACACTGTATTATTGACAGAACAAGCACCAGTCCATTCATTTTACACATTAGGACAGATGTTGTTGCCCAGAAGCACGCTTTTTTTTATTTTTTATCTCAAACTGAGATTCCACACATTTCTAAAATTCCTAAGTACACTTACAAGAACAAGCAGAAGCAAACCTGCAGCAAAGTCTCATCTACAGCTTTGAATATTTAAAATTCCCAATTACACCACCCTTGGCAATGTGTCAGGACCGATTATTTCTTTGACATCCAGGTCATTTAATTGGCTTAATCTGCCCTCTAAGTATTTTTGTCACCACACAATGTTGTCATTTTGCTGGGCATTTCTTCCACATTGCCTTTCACTTCTTTCTTCCATGGAGTTTTCTCCTAAATTTCAGTAAATAACTGCTGTTTGTAGCATTAGTGACACTTTAGGACGAAATCAAGTGGCTTCATTGGACAGATTTAAAATCAACATGACTTTCTGAATACAAATGCCACGATGTTACGCTGCCAAACTTGCTCTGTTTGAGTGTAATTCCGATGACAGACATTTCTCAGTGCAACAGAAATGAACCCATCCTTTCATAATTAGGCCATTAGAGGGAGCTGTAGTCGCACATACTTTTTACGCTGTAACTGAACTGCGTTGTGACAGAAGTTCTTGCAAAAGTCTAATGAAAGTGACTACTGGACCATGATGTCCACAGAGATGAGCTGCTTTTCTAATCACAAGTGCCCGCGGTACAGCCGGGCATAATGGTTTCTCATGAGCTTTGAACGACTCACCCAAAAGATCCTTGAGAACATTAACAGTCCTTTTTTTTTTTTTTTTTTCAGTGCTTGAAATCAAAAACATGCATAGCTCACACCGGTTTCAGTAGGTGCACCAAAAGCACCGCGGTATTCAACGTTGTTGTGTGATCGGAACGTCAGGTTGATTGTTTCCGATGGACTTCGAATCGAAGACCTGACTGTCTTTTTAAAAAGGTTCCCTGGATGCTGGTTGTTCAGTGCAATACAGCTTTGGGTTCTCAGACACTTCTGATGAATCGACGCCGTGTGGCGTTAGTTATTGCCCGTTAGTTCCGTCGTACGGTGATGAAGTCAAAATGTTTTAAGAACCCTGTCGAGATGATGAGTTGAACCTCTGATAGCTTAAGTAATTCCCATTTCTTCTAAGGTGCAACATGCTCCTATTTTGAAATCTTTAAACATTTTTCCATCTGTTTGTTTTTTTTTTTTTAAATTTGCAATAGATAAAGAAACTCACTTTTGATTAAATGTTTTGCTGCTTTTTGAGTTGGAGTTTATTCATTTCTTGCTTTATTCAATCTGTTGATGACTGCCTCACTCTTGTGCCCCCTTTCTTTTTGTTTCGTCCTCCCATTACTCATTGACGCATGCAAACACGCAACCACACAGAGCTTTATAAAGAAGCTGTAAGTATACGCCTACACAGGCAACATAATGTTGAAGAGAGATTTAATGGGGTGTAGATGCTGCTGTTCAGGAGATGAAAAGCTCATGTGTGGGCATACGAACTAAAGTGTTTTTGTTTTCCTTGTTAACACCTCACTGTTTGTTTTTGTCCAGTTAATGTACTTTCGCTGTCAGATCTCGTCAAACCAAAAATATCATCTTAATACTCCAGCTGTTTTTTTTTTTTCCTTTCTCACCTACAACCCCATCCCATCTAAAAACTTTCAACCTTTTCCCTCCTAAACTCTCTCTCTCTTACTTTCAGTTTCTTTTCGTCTTCCTGACATTCTTTGTTGCCGTCTGTCTTACTTACAAAATCACCGACAAACAACTTACTGCCGCGTTCTTCGCTCTTGCGCAGTTTAGGACTCGCTGTTCTTTAGGGTTCGGCATGCTTCCCAGCAATTGCAAATCCAAGCCGCCACCGCCTTGAAGGCGTGTTCACGTACCTGTTTTGCCTTGTTTTTTAGGTTCAGCTGCAGCATTCAACTAACTTCAGTTTCATTTCTGCCCAACAGGTGGCGATGGTGTGCCAATTCAAAAAAAGAAGAAGAAGAAACTGTGCGATTTCACACCACCGGCATTGACGTTTTCATGTCTTTTGTCCTCAGTGTTAAAAATATCCGAACGCATAATTTTCATTTAGAGCATGCAAATTCTTTCGTGTTAGGCAATGCGTTTTAAATAGGAGTTTTGTAATCGTATAGTCTGTGGAGTCATTAAAATTGTTAGAAGGCTGTATGCATATCTACGGAAGACGAGTAGGGCTATGGAAAGGAATATATATTGAGTTTAATCTCGCAATTCTGAGTTTAATCAGGCACCTGAGAAAAGATTTTTTCAGTCCCCCTAATCTTCCTCCGTATATGTCACACAAGTTTTGTGGTGAGGCAGATAATTAAGTAACCATGAAGCAAATACTAAGTTGCAAGTCATGAAAATCAATTTCAACTTTTCTTGTATTTTGGACTCAAAATTATTAGGTCATTATCAACTTTGCCACCAAAATCCAATATAACTGGCCACACTTAGCCGATTACTGGGAAGAAAATGAGTAAATTTCTCCAGTTTTTCATAATTACAAGTGTCATAAAGTTCGGCGTCGTCACACCTGTCGTCATGCTAATGTTACAATTGGTGTTTAGTAGGAACAGGGTGTGGTTTTGTAGTTGCTGTAAGCTTTTTATTCCTAATACAACTGGCAATTGTTCCCTTCTAAAGAGAAATTACAACCATATTTAAGTTGTTTTTTTTTAATTACCTTGAGTCAATTCACTCTTTTGACAATTTTAAGGCCTGTTTCCTACCGCCACCTTTTCCACTTCCTACCAGTAAGAAAACTGCTTCATTAAAAAATATATAAAATGCTCAACTTTCAAGCATAAGACAATGAGGTGAAAACATTGAATTACGGATATTAAAACAGACTCTAATTTCTGTTTGGACCAGCTGACTTAAAATCTTATGCACCCTAATCAAATGAAACTGAATAAAAGTGAGCTCCCTGTGGTAGATTAATGGAGACCATATTTCTTTACATGTAACTGGCAGTACAAACACAAAAAAAACCTTGGAAACTGCAAAAGTTTCCAAGCAAAGGAGTGAAATGACGAGCACCCATGCACTTCCACATCTTTGCTGAGAGTCTGAAAGTTATGTAAAATTATATGGAAGAAAACATATAATTTAACTGAAATGAAATTCATTTAATCATCCTACGCTGAGATCCATAGTAACTCAAAGAGTTAATGTAAAACGAACAGAAAAGAATTAGCTGGATGCTAACTGCACCTTATCAAGCAAAGGAAATTGTAAACAACCCCCGAACTCCTTGTATGTAATTATCATATTTATCGTTGTAGTGACTCTGTATGCACGGAGAGTAAAATTTTGACTCTGAAAGAATCTTTTGATGTCACTGCTTTGTGCCTCCAAATACTTCCATATCTCCAGCTTGTGGGCATCTTAGAAATATACAACCGTGAGCTAACCGCTGTGCGAACACTTTGATATTATACAGTGGTTGGTGATGCACAGCTAGAACTCAGTTTGAGTATGCTAAATTCCCCAGAGGGAGAGGGAGTTGTGTTCAAAAATAGAGATTGGAAGGTCTGTGCCGCTGTATTTGCCACATGGTTAAAATATCCCAGTGCTAAGCGAGGGACTGTTTTCTTGCAAACACTCCGAAAAATGCAAAGACTTCGCAAAGGGGGAGGGTTGAGTGAAGCCCTTCAACTAATTCTCTCTGACTACGCTCCATGTCATAAACTGAATGCAGTGCCTCTTTGTCTTGTCTCACGTTCATTGTCATATCTACGTGCTGCAAGTCGAACCTCTCCTGCTTCCTCTGCAGCATAACTTCCTTATCGACATTCCCCATGAATGCACCTGCTAATCCTTCAGGCTTCCCAACGAACCGCCAATACATCTTTTGCAGTTTCCCTTTTTTTTTTTTTTATTCCAGACTTGCTTTCCCCCTGTGTAGTGCACATTCATAAGGCTCCTATGTCACATTGCGCAACCCTTCGTCACATTAATTTACCACCTTAGACACATAACGAGCATCTTGTTTGCTTTCTCTGCACTTTCCACTCGCCAGTTTTCCTGGCAAAACGAGGTTTTTGCGTGAATATCGTGCCGATAAACGCATACGCTGATGACTCTGCTTTTATAGCCTGAAGCTTCTATTTCCCCCCCCCCCCCACCCCCCAAAAAATAAAAAAATATAAGAAAAGTTACTCAATTGAACGAAATACATTCTCAGTCTGATGCGCCGAGGCGGCCCTGAAACAATGCTATTTTAAATCGTGCGTCGGACAAGAGTCACTGCGAATGGTTCACAAGACAGATGAAGTATCACTTACTCACAGAAGCCGACGTATCGAAGACGCGACGCCGAGCTTAGTGTGAAGGACACAGAGGATGCCTCCCCACAGTTCCTCCATCTATCCCCCTGCTCAGGCTCTCATTCACTCTTACTGTCCATCTACACACAATCCACTCACTCAGACAACTCCATTTTTTTTTCTTTTCCCCCTTTCCCTTTTTTTTTTTCAGGGCAACTCTTCCAAGGTGATTTGATAAAGCGAGTGAGTGGATAAGCTGCCAGACGTCCTCGGAATAACAAGTGCTCCGGCTCATAGGCTGCGTGGCTTTGATGTTGGGCTTCAAACCTGGTTTTATGCTGACAGCAGATGCTGACTGAAGTATACATTACTGCACCTTTTTCCATGCGTCTGAACTCAGATCCGCCCCGGGTTTAACTTTGCGTCCCGGACGGTTGCTCGTTTGTTGTCTTTGATGAGCGCGCACGGTAATTAGCGGTGGTGTGGTAGCGATCACAGGAAGGACGGCGTTTTCCTCTTTTATTATTTCTCTGAATTTAAGTTGTTTTTTTATATATATATAAGTTCCTTGAGAGATATTAATCGAATTGTTTAGATTTTCATCATGTTTTTAGTTTTTGCTTTATTTTGTTTGTATTGTATTTATTTATTTTTGTTCTGTCTTATAGCAACTTTTTTGTTGTTTTAACTCGAGTACACAACAATTTTATCATCTTTCTTACGTTTGACAGGCTGAAGTCATCATCAGTTTGAACTTTTAGAAGATAAACAGAAACAAGAAGAAAAAAAACAAACATTTGACAACAGGTTTTAGTTTTCGATGCGATAAACTTGCTTTGCTCACGGTGGCGTGCTGGTATGACCTGACTCAGGCTTCCTGCTGATTGCTTTCCCCTCTGATCCGTTTCATCTCGATTTAAGCTTTAGAGGACTCTGGTTATTACTTTAGCTGGTGGGCAGATGGTGGGTGGAGAGCTCGGGTGAGGCAGAACCACGCTGTCACCAACTTTGAGGCTCAAAAGGAGCTCCCCATGGGTTAGGATTATGACGCTGAGTCAGGAGGGAGATTCGTTAGGGTTGAACATTGAGCACAACAGAGCGAATAGAAAAAGAAGCTTGAGTCTGGCAGGAAAATAAAGAGACATGTGAATTATGACGTCACAGGAGACATAGTGAAAAAGAGAGAGAGAGAGAGACACATATATGAGGAAGTTGGGTGGGTTGTTACAAACCCGGGGCTTTCTTTCTGTGGCTTCAGGTGAGGGCGGGGAATCCTCTCTCTCAGGCCCTCTGCTGGCTCTTTAACTCTCAGCATCTGGAAGCGCAATTCTGGGTCACGGTGGCCGGCAGGTGCTGTTTCTTCAGCCACGCTCAGTGCATTATGGGCAACTGAGTTCCCAGTGTAACTTCTGCCCTTTTGTCCCACCCTCGATCTCCTGTGCTATGAGGCGTCTGCCTGGGGAGACTCTTTCCGTCCATTCTTGAGCGTCGGCGAGTCTGACGTCTTTGCTGTCTTCCGAGGAGGACTCACCGGTTCGCTGGCGAGCTCGTGCAGCGACGGCTCCTTATACATTGCGACTGTGTTAAGAAATAGCGATGTGTGTTAAAAACACATACTTGCAACAAAAACCAAAAAAAAACAAAAAAAACATCCAAGACACAAACCTTCTATGACTTTCGGTAAGAAATGTGCGGCCCCCTTGGTCTTCTTCACCCGGTTGCCCTTCATGATGTGGCCGTCCCTGTTAATGCCGATGTACCAGGAGCGTCCGGACTGGGTCTGGCGGTAGAGTATGGACGAGTACGTAACGTAGTAGTTCTCAAACACGCTCTCCTTGAACTTACACTCGGGAGTGAAGTGTTCCTAAACGAAAGCAGAAGGAAGGAAAATCGTGTGGAGAGATCATAACAAACCTGGATGTTTTCTTTGAATTGCATTCTGTTCTTTGTGCACTAGCATTGAGTTCTTGTACAGTAGCATTGCTCTTTTCAACTTGTTCTGTAGTTTCTTTGAGTCTCAGTTCAGCTGTTTAGTGTTAATTATTCATCTTCCCTTAGTTTACCTCCTCAAGCAAAATTTTAAAATCATTCACACTTCTCGCACACAGCAGAAAAATACCCAACTGAAACTTTTCTACCCGCTCTGTACGTCTTGGTCCGGTTAGTTTTCCATTTTACCACTAAAACGTTGCCATTAAGTTCATTTTGAGCTTCTGTTTTCACTTTGGCCTTGTTTCAACTGCACATATTACGACAGAGAGGATCTTTGTGAAGAAAATTGTTCACTATTCTCCTCAAACAAACCCCATAAACTTTGCTTCCTTCCCAATCTTATTCTCATTTCTGTTGACTTATTTAAACATTGTGTGCTTTTAAGAAGCAGGAACGCAGAAAACAGACAAATGCAAAATATGGAGCTTTAGAAAAACAATCTTCAGCAGATAAATCTGATCTGAAAGTTGTGTCTTTATAAGTAGGCTGCAGCCCAGCAGAAAGCTGATGCAGAATCTCAGAGATGATCGTTTACTGTGTGCCAAGTTTTCAGCTAATGGTTCTTTGGAAACATCCTGTTGGTGATAGAATGCTGTTTTGTGTTTGCCAAATTATGTAAGTCTACAAACCATTTTTTGGAATGGTTTGTGGATTTAATTAAAGAAATGGAAGCAATTGGTGTCTTTGTGACTAACAGACTGCATACCAATCTAAATTAAAGCTGTTTTTTGTTTTGTTTTGTTTTTTGCTACAGCTGCAGTTGTGTCAAGGTTAAAGAGCATTTTGCTTTTAAAGACTCCCTGAGGCTGAAGCTAACTGTTGATAAAAATCCAGATATGTTAAAGTAGTTGTTTATTAAAATAGAGATAGATTATATTTCTTTTTGACACATGCATCTCAAGTTTTATTTAAAATGTCCACATGTATATATTTTTGGGGGCATTTCTTGATTTATTGAATCATGGCAAGTTTGGCTTTCCATACATGCTGTTGGTAAGGTGTTTTAGGCTGCCTCTACTGTTTATGTGCCATTTTAAGGCGGACCAGCATTCTCTGTTTTGGTCCACATCAGAGTTTGGTTACACCTTCACATCTTTTCAAACAAACCAGAGTTTCTAGGTAAACGAACCTCAGTTCGATTAAAGTGGACTAAACGTGACTGGATTTGGAGGGCCCAGTTCTGAGCGCCCTGCTACAAACATGAACCTCGCTAAATGTAAAGACATGAGGAGTAGCTTTACATTTCTGCACATTTTAGGGGTTTTATTGATATATTTTTGGATTAATTTAGTTAATTATTTTACTGAATAAGCTGTAGGTACGTTGTGCACCACAAATTATCTTCAGTGCAATTTGTAATCAGGTTAAAACCTGATTAACCTGAACTTTGTGCCCTGGACAGAATACACATGAGGCACAAAGTAGAAAATATAAATGAATAAGGCTGAAATTAATAATCATTCCCGATACTCGTAAAGTTTTCATCATATCGACATGCTTTCAATGACTCACGAAAAAGAAAACGAAGCAAACAGCTGAAGCTGGAAGTACGTTTCCTTAGAATCGTGATTTACATATTTTGACATAATTATTTGGTTATAAAAAGTTGTTGCCAATTCAATTAGCTGATTAAGATGATCCATGAATCATATCCTGGGCTGTATCCTAGATTGGTCTTGGCTTGGATTGTCCCTTTTTAAGCAGCTTTGGATGGACGCCAGAACAGTAAATGTTGATGTAAATGACTGAAATTAAAACACTTGGCAGGTTGGTTTAAAACACAGCCTGGTGGCTCGTGATTTCGGACTTTGGTTTAAATTAAAATGACTGCGGGCCGCTGCATTTCCGTTCGGTATTCAGAAACAAATTTTACTCCATTCACCATATATCTAATCCATCGTGGGGGGAGCATAGATGCGGCGGAAGGGAGCTGCTGTTGGGCAAGAGACATTTTCCACTTTGGAAACCGTCGCTGCATGCGCGGTCACACTCATGACCGCCTTAGAATACACCGCACGTCTTCGGATTGCACCACCTCGATGCACAGTCCAACTTCACGCAGCTGAAATCCATCATTTTCCAGTCACCCAAAAGAGAATTAATAGAAAACCCTCTTGGGTTCTGTCAGGTTTTTTCTTTTTTTTCTTTTTCTTTTTGCCTTACTGGCCAAATGTAAAGAGGCAGAATAAAATCAAGTTAGCAGAACTTGGACCAAATCCAGTCACAGTAACTGATCACGTTCCAGCAGCCGTGCCCCCCTCCCTTTCTTGTCCTCAACATAACGGCTACTGAACCCTGCATAATGTTGACCGGTGATATTAACCAACGGAGACAGACATACATCTCTCTTAGCCACCATCAGGGTCTCGACAGGGAGCAAAGTCAATCTGCTGGATTGATTAAGTAAGAGCAGCAGGACAGAAATGGCTGAGTACAGAATTTCTCGGAGAGTCGGGACAACACGGGAGGCCTGGAGGCTCGCAGCTTGCTACAGACAGGCTTTAATAAACAGTCGGAAGGAGAGCGAGACGCCAGTTTCACACCTATCACGGATCTTCCCTTTCTCCTTCTAAAAGGAAACATCCCTTTTCTTTAGGTCCGCTCTCCTGTTATTTCATTACTCTCACTGAAGTGAAAAGATTTTTTTAAAAAAACAAAAAACTACCCTTAACCCAACAAATGCCATCACTGCCCTCACATGGCAGAGCTATATTAAGATCCCCTGACAGGTTTGATATCTTCTGCTGCGCTAACACAGAGGATGGGATCGATAGATGATCCGCTTCATTCATTATTAATCAGGCCAGAGCGAGAAAGAGGATTAGGAAGCGCAGGAGCCAGAGGGGAAAGGTAGGAGAAACAGGAAGGAGAGCAGAAGATCACTCAGAGGGGACTGAATGGGGTTTCTGGATAAGGAAGTGAATCAAAGTAAAGAGGGATCTACTGAAGAGCTGGTGCAATGAGGCCCCCGGGGGCCCGGGATCCAACACTTATGTAGATCTGTGACAAAAAGACACTTTTTAAGCACAACCTATTTAAGAAAAAAGAAAAAGAAAAGAAAGAAGAAGTTCTGGTTAGAACACCTCTCCCAAGACACCATGTTATAATGCTCTATAATCATTTCACTGAAAGAACAGAATGGAGTGAATTCAGTTTGACAAATCGTGTACATCGTACACCTTTTAAATTTGTAAGTGAACTAATTCTGTTACAACTTGGTGAAATGTTTATAGACTAAATGGAATTAAGTTTGTTTGTCCTTTGTGTGTCTATGTGTTGCCTTGTGATGTCATGGCCCGATTCTCACTCAAAAACCAAGTTAAGACGATTGTAAAGCAGAAAAGTAAAACCTTTTTGGTTAGGGGTGCAAACAGTTAATTGACTTATGATTGTTGATTAATAATTCATTAGATTAAAATTAGTTTCAATCAATTAACTAATAACGTCCGCTTTGACCTTCTTCCAGTGGCCATCCTTGGGGCCAGTTGATACAGAAATAAATATGGTAGGACCATACCAGAAGGGAAAAGAGAAAGGGTCCAAGCCATGGTCCTAACAGAGTTCAACATGGGTTATAAAACGCCATTTATGTGGTTGAAATATAAACACTCAACCATCTCCTTAACTTTCACAATGCTTTTTTTTTTTTTTTTTTATAATCCAGCGTATTATTAAAATGTTATGGAAAGACGGTTGACCCTCTTCATACAAGAGAAAACTCAGGGTTGTTTTTTTTTTTTTTTTAAGTAGCAGCTTATCTATTAATCGTTAGCTGATCAATAAGATCAATCAACTTTAGGTTAACTCATGAATCGATGCCTTGCATCCTTAACTTGTTTTGGTAAAATGCATCAACTTATCTTCCTGAAAGCACACTGCTCTTTTACCTAAGTATCGCATTCAATTACCCATAGCAAGCAGAATAATTGTCCTTAAAGCACACAATGGGGATATCCCTCAAACTGGCTCAGACGAATTCCCGCTGACATTATGTTAAGAGTTGCACTTTTTACAGATGAGGGATGAAGGAATAAATCAATGTAAATTCTGGCTGCTTGGAATAGAAATGAATCAAATACCTCTGTCTTCAAAGTGACTCGGGTAAGCCACTGTATTTCCTCCTGTATGCCTGGAGGTAAAAATGAACTTGAATGACAGCAGATGTGAAAGGTAATATCTGTCGTCCGTGCTGAGAATCCCTAAGACGGGAAGAACCTTTTTAGTGATGCGGAGTGTCGTCCCGACCCCCCTCCACCCACACGCACCCCCTCCCGCTCCATCCCTTGTGTCTGATTACATCTATTCTGCTTCGGAAAGCTTTGCACTGTACAATGGAAAGTGTAGTTACCAACAAAGCGCCATTAGCAGAGAAGGACATGAGCACATTTTCCAAAAAAAAAAAAATCTGACATCTTTTCCTAATTAGTGTATAATAATATGATAAACAGGCGGGAGTGTGTTGCATGTGACCGATGTTCTACGTCTTGTTTACTTTGACTCCACCATGCACATGCTAGCATGAAATTAATGTAAATACGCCCTGAAAAATGCAACCCTTGCTTCTCCAATTCAAAGGGACATGCTTCTGCTTTCGTGATGAGCAGTTATTTGCAGTCCCCTGTGCGGACAGCAGGGGTCACAGGCTTTCTGTGCGTGTGTGTGTGTGTGTGTGTGTTTGACCGTCCCGTCAGCTCCTCAAGTAATCTGGGAGCTGCTGCTGTGAAATCTGCCCAGCTGCACCGAGCCGTCTCGTTTCTACTGCGGCGAGCTGCTCTTTCGTTCACGTAAAGCTTGTTGGGAGCAACAGCCGCCCCCACCTCCTCCTCCCGTGTTACGCAGACACACGGGCAGAGAGGGACGCCACCAGAAGGGCATGTTGATGATGGTGTTGCCGTCGAGCCACATGTGGACGCACAATAACGCGCCACGTTACATAAGTCAGCGGGGCTGAGACGTGCTTATTATGAGGACTTTGTAGGGGATGAAACTGGGAGTTAATACCTTCCGCGCATGTTTGCTCCGGTCCCTGGCGCTCTGTAAAACAAATTGTGCTCTCCAGACGTGAGCCGAGCAGATGATGATGTGCGGAGACTTATTGCCCAGCTTTGCAGATTGCTAGATGAAGATCCCTGTCGATACACTTCTGTTCAGAGCAGACAGTGACTGATGTTACTCCTTACTAAAAAAAAAAAAAAAAAAGCTCCTCAGCTTTAAGTCTTCCGAAACTTTAGAGAATCCTGTCTATTTTTGGACAATTAGTTATTTCACGTCTCAGCAAATTGCATGAAGCACCACTTTCCAATATAGCCCTGAGCAATTGTGGAAGTTAATACAAAAAAAAGATTATGAATGTACCGTAAAGATTAAGCCTTGCAATCCCTTTGGTCTACTTTTATATACAGGGTTTCCTTCGTGATGTTTTCGTTACTCTAAAGAGATCTCAATTTGTTTTTGTTCTCTTGTTCTGATCACAAATTGACTTTTACACATTTTTTTTTCCTGCTCACATTTTCTCCTCTTTTGTTACAAACGCGAACAGACATTGGAAATCAAAGAAAGGACATTTGTCCCTCTTATACCCTTTTACTTCACTCCTTTTCATATTTCCAATTTTCTTCCTCTGCTTGCAACACCATGTTTCTCAAAACGCAGAAAACACCCATTTGTTTTGGCCTCTCTTATCTTCCTCCTATACAATGAAAGCAATTCAGTATGGTCATATAGCAAGATATTTTTTTCTCCCCGTGGACATGAGTTTTGTACAGCTGGCACTCAAAATATAAATGCTTCATTTTGAGTTGGTTGGAGGGCAGAAATTAACCTCAATAGTGAATCTGGGCTAGAAGAGTTTATCATCTATAAACTGCTTTAAAAAAAAAAAAAAAAAGAAAAGAAAAACCTAAAACTTAAAACGACTTTTAGAGGAATTTGTTCTCCTTCACTTCAGTTTAAGGTGCAAGTTGCCAACTATAGGGAACAATCTGTACAAACATTATTTTGTCCTACGTGGAATTAAAGCTCTTAATCGTTGCTTGGCACATTTCAGAATATTTAACGCTTTTATTCCTTGTTGATATGTTTGATTTTTATTAAGTGTGAAAATTGTGTTGACATGTGGATTATGCCTCGACTGTCTTTGATTGCTGCCGCACAGCACAACACTTCCTTGTTGCTCCCTAATTCCAGATTTGATCTTCATAAAATGGACAATCTCTGAAGTTGACATTAGCTTGTTAGCGTTATCGGCAGCTAGCGGTTCAGCAGTTACGGGACAATGTTTCCAAATTGTTTGTATTTCGTGTGGCGCTCTGCTATAGCAGTGGGTGCTTCTTCAGTGCGTCTGCTTTGTGTTGTTAGTTTATTGAGACGTCTTTGTTCACACGGCAAGAGTTTTATGCTGGTTTATGCAACAATCTTAGGGACGCACCAGTCATCAGGATGCAGTTTGAGGTAATCTTAAGAGACATGACTTTCAGCGCGTGGTGTGTTGAGAGCGATCGGGTCTGGATGGAAGAATGCCGACACCGCTCCGATGTAAAATTGGGCTGACGGAAGATGTTGGCATGGTGGACCAGAAGGTTTGGTGGATGAGGGAAATGTCTTTCTACAAACTGTCGACATTGCATCTTCCCAGTCGGCCATGTTTGTTTAATCTGAACTCATGCTTGGTCTCGCATCTGAGTGTTGGTGAGCGGTGTGCTGCTCCTGCCATGTGGGTCGACATCACACACTGAACGACCAAGCCTGTTGTACCTAAGAGTTTTCATCGCTGTGTGTGTCTTGTCGGGCCTTTGGCTGAATTTGATTTGGGCCCGGCCACATCACCACCGCCACCAAAACGTGTTTCAATTCATGTTTGGTGGAATCTGCGAGAATGACACACAAAAACTATGATAGGTTCACAATGTCCAGGCCTTTCAGCATCCATTTCTGGTCTTCTCCCAATGAGCTGTTCAACTAACTTTGCAACTTCTGTCGAGTTAATTGTCTCATTTTTCTCTGAGTTCCCAAGCTTCTTTCTTTTCTTTATGGTTGTCCTACTTGTCTTTTATAATATTCACCTCAACAATTCTACATATTGACTTTATTACATGGCAATAAAGACTGAATAAATAGACGCAGCAGAACTGTGAAGTCATTGTGGGCAGAGTGTACGACTTTGTTTGCCAAAAGCCATAAACTGCATGACTCAAAGTTCAAGTGCAACAACGAAACTGAGCCGAGCGCACGAGTCAGCAAAGAAAAACGCGCAATTAATAATAAGAAACATCTGTGTAGAATAAGGTAATTTCTAGGGAAAAAAATAAAATACATGACTGAATAAAACAAAGGGCTAAAAATACATCACCCAAGATGGAAAGCATGAAGACTGCAACCTTCATGGAAAGCATGAAGACTGCAACAAGCATAGCAGCAAGGTGCTCAAAATCCTCCAGATCTACGAATCAGTTCATAAGTTGCAAGGAGGCCTTCTTTACAGATCATGTGTGCATTTTTAGTTCTTATTAATTAGATTCTAAAGGTTTAAATGACTCGGTTTGAAAGCTAATGTTGAGGAACTGATGATATATTAGTAAGTGACAAACAAATGAGTAACACTGCCCTTCATTAAGCACATCTCTTAGTCTCTCCGTAAGGATTTTCCACATCTGTTTCCGTTCTAGCCATGCGTGTCTTTGTTATTTTGACATCTCAGTTCTGTTTCGATTTTTTTTTTTTTTCCAGTTCTCGTTCACATTTTGCTAGGACTTCTTTAAGCTTTCTGTTTGAAACTGGTTTGTTGTCTCCATTACCTGCCTGTGCATGCATGTGTCTGCATCTGTGTTACCACATCTAATGGATGCAGTTTCAGAAAACATCTTTACCTGCAATGCCCCCTCTTTATTCCCCCCTGTGTATCAGTATATGAAGTACTATTGATTGATTTCTTCTGCTTGTTCGGGGCTGAAATTTTTGGCCAGCAAATCTGAGAGCAATGGGCATGAACGAGCAAAAAGTACAAAATAATTACTTATAATAAATAAAAAAAATGTTGTCAAGTGTCCTTGTGTGCAGATAAATGTCAAATAAAAAAAGAAAAATAGATAAAAACAGTTACTGCCTCTACTTGTCACTGAAATAACTGACAAAAAATATGGCTACATGAAAAGAAACACGTAAAAATGTGCATAAAGCGTGCTCTTTTTGCCGTGCCACGCCTATAAACTCAGCAGTGCGACTGTGCAGGAGAGGAATTTCTTTGTAAAAGGTCAGTGCGGGACGCAGTTTAACTACTGATTGTTTCTGAGGGAATCCCTGTTCCTGTCGGTTCACAGGCGCGAGCCACCACAGCCTATCCATGCTAAGCAGCTCCTCGCAAGATAAGGGGAGGCAGTGTGGTCTGTCCCATAATTCACAATTCACTGGGCCTCAAACACACACACACACACACACACACACAGCACGCATACCTCGATGTGCACTGGGTGTCTTTAAACTGCAGGTTTATGTTTGTTAGTTTGTAAAATGTAAGGGTGGAAATGATCAGAATTAATTAACTGTAATATATTCTCCCCCTTGAGCCTGGTCATGTGTAGCTCAGTCTCTACCACTGGCATTTTATTATTATTATTATTATTATTTATTTGACATCAATCATTTAAAGAAAGAGGTTCTCAATTAGTTTCGTGCATCCTTCTGGAAATGGAATAACTAATCACGATTAATCACTCTGCTTCATTTTGTAAGCTTGACACGTTTTCAGCAAATGCTTTACTGTCTCAAGCCAAATTTTCAGTTTTCCAGGTTTTTGCATTCAGGAAGGTTAAAAGGAAGTCACTTTATTTCACATGTACATATGACCTTGGTCTTGTCCAAATTTCCATTTTTAAAGCCAGATTTGCCACCGCTCTCCTTGCTCATGTTGCTCATATTGTTGACCGCAGTGCAACACGGTTGCGCTGCTGTAAAGCAGGAAACATTTTTGCGACAGAGAGCCGTTTAAGTCAAACGCGCCCTGAACGTTTCAGATTATTTGCGCGCGCTAACGGATTAACGCGTTAACGTTGACGGCCCTAATCTAAAGGTTGCATCGTCTTCCTTCCGTTTCACAGTTGTGCTCCACCTTGTGTTGGTTGTGTCTTAAAATCCCACTAAAATGCAGGGAGTTTGTGATTGTAATGTGAGAAATTGGGAGAACGTGTGCTGTTGCCAACTGTGACACAACAAACACTCCCCAAGGTTATAATGAAATCTGAAACGTCCATGGAGCAGCTGCTTCATGTTTATTTCATAAAACATGTTTGGGTTGGCGTGATGTTGTTGTTTTTTGTTTTTTTTAGTTTATTCACAGTGTACAAGTACTGTACAATGAGTTGAAACTAATACTTTTTACATTAGTTGTTTTTTTCTTCTTTTTAGAACAGAAAAGCATCATCTAACATCCATTTGTTTCACATTATCCTCCTTTTTTTTTTTTGTAATTTTGGACTGAGTGACATTATCCAGCCGCCTCATGACCACACACAACATCACAGTCATTTTAACTGAAAGTGTTTTATTGGCTTTTATTTCAACACCTATCATCTATTAGACAACGAGGAGTGCATCTCACTCTCTTGCTTAGTTGGGTACAATATTTTAGCGTTTGCTAACGTGTATGTACCACATCAGCTTGGTTATAGCTTCTGTAATATGGCTAATGAATCAAGACTTGAGGACAAAACTGTGCATCGTACTCAAAACAGTACTTTTACTGCTCTAGCATCACGTTTGCATGCTTTTGGGTGCTCTGTTGTGCTTAAGGATGTCCAGCCTGTGCTTACCGAGGTATAGAGGTATCCTTCGCTGTTCATGGCGAGGTACAACCCTGTTTTTGTCCCCTGAATTGCCACAATCCGCAGTCCCACCGGGATTAAGTTGAACTGTGCTAAATTAGGGAATAAAGTATGAGACAGGGAGAGGGAGAGAGAAAGAGAGAGAGAGAGCATGACAAAGGGAAACAAGAGAAAGTCAGAGGTTTGTGAAGGCAACCTGCAGTACTGCGTAGCAACACATTCTGTGTTCGCTGTTGGAGGCCGCGTGGCTCCAGTGTCACCGCTCTGTGCTGCGTCTCTCAGAAGCCCAAATGCTGTGACCTCTCAGAGTTCATGTTTATGGAAACAATACACCATGTCACCTTCATTGTGCTTTTCACATCCTCTAAACCTGGAAGAATAACTAAAATAGCAGCAACTAAAAATACAGCCGACACAGTAAGTGCGCACAGTTACAGTACAGCAGTAACTGAGCGGATATTTAACCCAAAACCAAGACATGTCTTACTGTGAATATAAAGTAAGTAAATGTATTCCCCTTTCATAGAATTGTTCCTCTTTTGTCACGTTTTTTTTTTTTTTGTTTGTTGTTGTTTTGTTTTACATCATCTATAAAACTGAATATCAGATAAACATAACCTGAGTAAATACAAAGCTAGGTTTTTAAATGAGGTTTTCTTTTATTAAAGAAAAGTACAGGGGTGGCACTCTCATGTTGCAGGGTTGTTTTCCTGCAGGAAGGACTGATGCACTTTATAACATGGACGGCATCACGAGGAGAGGACATATGTGGAAATATCGGAGCAACGTCTCATGACATCAGACAGGAAGTTAACGCTTGGACACAAATGGGTCTTCAAGATGAACAAATTAATCACAAAATTGTTTGAGGAGAGCAGAGTCTGTGTTTTGGAGGGGCCAACACAAAGCCCTGATCTCAGTTCCATAGACTGAAGGTGGGCAAACCTTTTGGCACGGGGTCCAAAACTGTCCAGATAAAATTATTACCGGGCCACAGAAGCTTTTGTTTTGTTCATAGAAAAACTAAAATCACTTAATTATTGAATTATTTGTTTTCGTCTGGTCACTATATTTTAATGATCAAACAAAGTAGTTTAGTTTCTGTAGAAAATGAATATGGAAATCCCAAAAAAAAGAAAAAAAAAGCATCTTGCATGCGTTTTTCTTTAAGTATGACAAAAGAAAAAGAAAAATACGATACAATTTCCACAAATTGTATCAGAAAATGTTCCCAAATTGTGTGGAAATGTTTATGGTTTTCTATTAGCTTCATCTAGATGTATTTTGTGGAGTCAACAAACATTCAGTCCTTGTTCAAAATTTGCCTGAGATTGAGAGTTTATAGTAATACTAAGGGAATCTAAGTAAACTTCAGAATTTGAAGACATTAAGAGAAACGTTGTCGTTACGTTTGGCATTTAGCATAATCATTTCCGCAAGCTGAACTAAAAGTATGAGTTTCTATTGTTATGCAGTGCATGTATATGTCTGATTCCAGTTTTAAGTCCTGGAAGTCAGCAAATGGATGGAAGCCGTCCAGGCGTCAGACGAACGCTGTACAGGTTTTTGGTCTGTAAAACACACTTTCTTTGCAAAAGGTCAGGATCCGCGCTCACGCAATCTTGGCACTGACAATGCCACAGCCTTTTTATTGTTAGCAGCTTTCAGCAAGAGAAATCCAGAGCCAGTGTGATTCACTGTCTGTAATCCATGCCTTTCAGAGCAAGGTAGCAGTAAATTGGCAAAGTTTGACAGCCACTTTTGGCAAGACACTCCATTCTCATTCAAAGTTAAAAAAAAAAAAAAAAAGATAATAATAACAGTATTCATTTCAACACATTTGTCAGTTGAGCTGTGAAAATCCAAAGTTTCTCCAAAGCTCTTTAGCCTCGAGGCCCCTGTTGCACCACCAGGCAGCTGCTGCTGCAGCTATGTTTAGTTTGACGCACACGGCGCCGCAGGCTCCGAATGCGAACACGAGCCGTTCCACTCTTCAGTTACGACGACAGTCAAAAAGGCAGTTACCTGAATTTTTGTTTGCTGCGCTCACTTTTAATTCTAGTAACCGGCGCAAACGACCAAACGGGGGGGGGGGATGTAGTACACTTACAAAATGCGCTGCCTTCGTCCTTCGTGCTGCCCAAGGTGCCGTCAGGCTGCATCTGCAGGTAGAAACCATGTTGGCTGTACAGGCGAGTAACGATGCCTTTTAGTTGCGGCTCTGCAAGAGAACAAAGGGAAGCGAAGCATTAGGCAGACGCTGCGGCCGCATGCTGACAGAAGGTGGAAAACGCATAAACGCAACCTTACAAAATGAAAGTTGTGACTCAAACGTCTCAGTTTTGATCAGAAGATTGGCACCGTTTGATTTCAGAGTGCGATGTAACAATCGGCGCACGGTTTAAGATTGTTTGATTATCTGAATCCCAGTCATTTAAAGCAGGCATGATTCGGCATGAAGTTAGTACATTTTAAGAAAGAAATGTCTGTGAAGTCAATGCCTTCCGGCATTTACAACTCCCTGATAAAGATGATAAACACATGTAGAAACATGGTTCAGTAATCTCACCATTTTCTTTGGATTCAAGACAAACCGAGTGAAAAGTGAGTATCTGTGGTCGCATGTGGTTCAATTCTGAACACAATCAAATTTTCACATCTTGTTAAAGGAATTGTGGGATGTAATTTGGTGGTACACCTGCTTTACGTATATTCTTTTTAAGAATATCCTTAAGATTACAATTCTGGTTTTAAGTAAGTTTATCAGAAGCTTTGATACAAATTTTGACCCCTGACAAAACTATGATCCTATTTTCTCTCAAGCAAATCAATAGACGATAAGTTACAAAACAGACTAAACCGGATTTCAACATGCATAGACACGATGTTTTCAAGATGCTGGCAACAGAAGTCCTGGAACAGTGACACATTTTCTAGAAGTTGGGACACATGTATGCTCTCTACAAAGAAAGCTGCAGTTACTAAAACAAATTAGGAATCAGCTGTTGAATGAAACTCGTCAGTCTTTTGCATGTTGACAGAAGCTAACCAGTCAAAAAAAAAAAAAAAAGGATAACCATCCAACCTTTTTTTCAGACACACATTACGCTTATGGTTTTGCTAGCCAACAATATCAATTGTGGATGTTTCTTTTTTTTCCAGTATCAGCGAGGTGTTCAAAAGTAAAGCCAGAAGAAGGAAAATGATGTCAAACTAGAGACAGAAGGAAAGGAAACTAAATTTCCTGTGTAAATTGAAGACATATTTGGGATCTTCTTTTGAGCTGCAAGAGAAGGCAAAACCTAAACAGGAAGGCTGATTAGAGAGCAGCAAATAGTCGCTTTGAAATTGTTTGGATGTGTAAATGTTGACAAACAATAAGGTAAGAATCTATATTCCCAACACACAGATAGATTATGAGGTTAGCAAAGCTAACAGCTACAACAAGATGCAAGAGCCAGTTAGAAAACACTGATTTGTGCAAATTTCAACATTACCAACATAAAAAGTGTTCACTGGAATGTCCTAATCTAACCTTCTAACCATAAAATTCAGGTCTGTGGTAATACATCTAGTTATCTGGACACAAACGTGTTGTGTCTGAGGCATTACAGTGTTTGAGACGGACTGCAAGTGATTGGAAGATTGGCTAATAAGTGAGATGTAAAATGTGTTACAGGATCAAAAGAGAAAAACCAATCACCTTGAATTCAAACAGTTGGGCGCACACAGCAGATACAGACTCCTCTACAAACCTCAACACAAAAACACACTTTTTTTTTTCATGTCACAAAAAGTAGGAAAAAATGGAAGAAAAACTGTGTTTTTCTAACATATTTAACATCGACTTTAACAATCCTGGCAAATCCAAGCCCTCTGAACAATTTAAATGTAATTAAAGACCTTCTTTGTTAAAAAAAAAAAAAAAAAATATATATATATATATATATATATATATATATATATATATATATATATATATATATATATATATATATATATATATATATATATAAACTGCTGTTTCTAGAATATTACATCACAAAACAGACATGAGACTCATTACTCAGCAATCTCAAAGGTTTGAACCTCGGTTTGAAATTCAGTTTGGTGTGATCCTGACTGACATCAAAAGAGCTGCCTCAGGCCTTCAAAAAAAAAAGGTAGCTTATGCATTTCGTAAGAGACTCAGAAAACAGCTGTCCTGCTGTCTGGAGAACAGCCCCCACAGCAGAGGACATTCAAAACATCTGACAACATACAAGGCTGTTCAAGACCGTTTATCCTGAAAGCAGACCCAAAGATGCTAAATGAAGTCCCTAAACACCCCAGGATGTTGTCACAGGAGATACTCTGTTGTGAAAGTGTTTGCCTTTACAATCGGGGGTGGAAAAAAAAAAAGGTAAGATAAGGTTAACTTTGAGGAGAAAACGTTTGCTCTCTAAATTGTCACAGGCTAGAAAGATGTTTCCATGAGAACGCTTCCTGGACGTTTGGAGAAACATGGAAGTGTCAAGTTTTGGGAAATGCTTTCCTGCTACATGATCTAGCCAGCTCACCCTGTATCAACTTTTTTTTTTCTGGAAAATGTGAAAGCATCTATTAAAAAAAAAAAAAGTCAGCTAAATGTGCTAGACTACGTTAAATAATAATAATAACCCAAAATACATCAGAACATCCTCCGAGAACCGCTGGAGATTTAGGGAATGGAAAGTCCAAGACGGCTGCCCAAAACTGCTGCTCTTTGCAAATTCAAATAGTGATGGGATAATGCAGGTGTGTGTCCCCCACACACACACACCCAGAAACTGGATTTAACTTGGCCTATAGCTGCTGAAGTAACACGACAAAGATTTTCTTATTTCCAGGACCAAAAAGTACATGAAACACAGGGAGTTTGCTTCTGAAGGGTAAAGAGCTTCCAGCTCTGCAGCAAGAAGACACAAACATCATCTGCAAGAATCCTTCAGGACCCCTGACACGGCTCCGCGCAATTTCATTTAGTCCGGCAAATGAAGTGACAAGTCATCTTTACTGCGGCTTTAACAAGGAAGTGTAAACACGGAGCGGAGGTTTAGGACACTGCAGTGAGTCATCCAGGAGTTTCCTCTGAATTAAACTCCTCCCATGCCTTCACACGCGCTCCCAGGAGAAATACCTACGGGGCACAGCTCAATCTACCAGTCTTCCTTGGACTAGAAGGAGGGGTGGAGGAAAGAGTGGCAGGGGAGGAAATGATGAGATCCATAGCACTATTTCTCAGAGGAACTGTGCCAGGGTTGAAACAACAGTGAAAGTGTGACCTACTCTCATTGTTTTTCACGCAGCTCCCCACCCATCCTCTCTCTTTCAAAGGTGCATGTCGAGAAAAAAAAAAAAAAAGTCGCTAATTTTTCGCTGCCCCAGTCATTCTTCTCTTTTTTTTTTTTTTTTTTGAATCCGTAACCTTTGAGTTATGTTCTTTTTCATCTCACCTAATAACACAATGCATCATCCAATTAGACCACGCGAGCCTGTCATTACACGTCCCCGAAGAGGCGAGCGAGAGAGATGATAGAGTGAGACGGAAAGAGGAATGGGAGGATCAGGGGCGGAGAGACGGGAGCAGAGGGGCCAGAGAGAGAGAGAGAGAGAGAGAGATCGTGCAGCCATTAAGAGTTGCAGCTGCATGTGCGCAGGTATAAACTGTTCAACTTTAGTCGGAAATGTAGTTGACAGTTTGTAATCAAGCCTTCAGTACGTCGCATTAAAGGTAATAAACCAAAAGGGTTTCCCTGAATCGAACAGGTCTTTCCCAACATAGTTCATGTCTGTGGAAGCCAATTAAAAACTCAGTGTCACATAATGACACGGTTATATGTGGAAATTATATAAAAATCTGAAACATGTATTTGCATTTAACATGCTTTACTTTAACACTCTTTCAAATTTTAGAGAAACCATTCAGAACTCGTAATATGAGTAGAGTCCACTTTGTTTTATTTGGTCTCACTATAAATCAGGATAGGAGGGTTGTTTTTAAAATATCAGTGAAAAAACACAGACCGAAGAGAATGGCAGACAGGCCAGGGAAAGTGATGGGGAGAGGTATACATCAGGGTCAGGTTGTAAAACAACAGTGATTTTATTTTTCAGGTTGTGAAAAAAAATAAATAAATCACTTTTTGTTCTCTGAAATAGCCAATATGCCAACGGGAAGGAGGAGCTGCCAAGATCAACAGCTCGGGTGGGGAAATTTGTCATCAGGATAACAATTATGGTGGACTTCTTACAACTTTACGGAAAAGTTGTAAAAAGAAAAAGATAAAAAAAAAATAGAATCCATGGCAAGGCCTGAAAATTGACATTCACAGATTCTCTTTCCTCAAGATTCTACACGCAACTTCCCTTATTATGACAATGTGTGAAAAAAGGTTTTGGGATTTCCCCAAACTTACTAAAAATAGAAAACAAGGAAAATACATTTGCCCTGAAGCTCAAAATCAAGTTGTTTCCATTGGTTATTTTAATGTGTTACTCTTTAACGCAGTCCACCCCCTGATATTTGAACGTTTTATTTAAACAGCAGATGTATCGCATATTTCATAGCTGTGTTCAGGTTTTAACTCTTCTACCTTCCCAAACCCATTTTTCACAGCGTCTAGAGAAACATTCATAATTGCAATGCTTGATTTTTCAGACTTTTTTTTATTTTTTTCAGTTCCAGATGTGGCTCCGTCACACAAAAAAAATAGATAAATAAGAATAAAAACGTCACATTTTTGAAAATGCAAAAAAAAAAAAAAAAAAAACCCTCTCAAGTCAGATCCAGCTCTCCGTCTTGCTGGATGTTAACTTAATTGCCCGAGTTAATCTCGAAGCAGAACGTTCCAAACTCGATGGTTTGTGACCAACCCCGAGCAGAGAGAACGCAAATTAATCAGCAAGTCGACTTGTTTTCCTCATCATGCGCATTTAAGGAGCAAATTGTCAGATAGTGACACACTCTGACAGCAGTCTAACTCTGCCTGGATTAGCAGACACACAGAGTTGTTTGCATGAGCAAAAAGCCCTGGTTTTGCATCATGAGGCCTGGTTTTTGGAGTTTGCTCTGAGAGAGGAAGCAGAGCTGGTGATGGAGATGATTTCGTGAAGGACCCGCGCGGTGGCTTTGGTTTTGTTTGAAAACGGCTGCTGTCAAGGTGGAGAATGTTTGACGTTTCAAGAGCCAAATGGAGTATC